AATTATAGGAACCCAAGAAAGTAATTACGTAGTGAATGGGGAAGAAGAAAAGATCGAACCTTTCTGCCATTATCGATGAGAATTGAGTCAGAGAGACATCGAAAGAGTTCTTTTTTGGATGAGAAACTCCGATGATGATGAACAGTCGATCTGGAGATCAAGAAGATGTAATCGGACGGTAGAAACTTCTCCCAAACGAAATCAGAGTCTCCGGCGACTCGGAAAACAGACGAGACAGCCGACGAAGAGAAAGTATCGGCCGGGGTTGTGAAGGAGAGGATACTTGCCACGCATGCTTCTGGTAACATGATCATCTTTGTTCAGAATTGAAGACAGAGAAGACTATTTCTTGTGTAGAGCTCTGTTTTCTCAAGTAAAATGTTTTTGGAGATGGAAACGGTGACCGACCGATGAGTCCATATATAATAATAATAGAGACCATTTTAGTTTTGTCTATTTTAGACCATTAAGGGCCCATTTACAAACAAAAGGTTTTGGTGGTTTTTGGTCAAGAAATGATAAGTTTGTTTTCTATGAAAAGATAAAGTCTGTGTTCTGTAGTTGAGGTTTTTTGGTTTATATCATCACTCTATGACTATGCAAGATTGCACATACCACCCTTTTAGTTTTATTTCCAGTCACATAAATATATATATTTCCAAACTACTTTCTTTCCGACAAATGTCACTTGAATTTGGTTATCTGAAAAGTTTAGCATGTGTTCTGTATTTTAGGTTTATATCACTCTATGCAAAATACCATCCTTTTAGTTTTTAATGAACAAATATGTACTTTATTTCCGACAAATATCACTTGAATTTTGTTATCTCAAAAGATAGTTTGTTCTGTATTTTAGTTTTTTGCTTCATACTACTCTATTGATAACTATCACCTACTTAATAAACCATTTGACCAAACGAATTCACCAAAAACAAAAACAAAAACCCCATTTGACCAAACCATAAGGAATCACAAAACCAAGTATTTTCATAGGGAATCAAACAGATAGACAGACCTAAACGAACT